AAAGACTGTATTGAATGAAGGCTTTTCGCTTTTAATCAGGATCCTCGTTAAATAAATAGTTTTCCTTAATCAACAAAGCGATAACACGGTTTGATAAGAACGATTACATGGAGATTTTTGATGGGGTGGAGAAAGAGGAAGGGAGCTTAAGGGTTTGTTTCGAATTAGCGAATGAACGCTATCGGGTTTTCCTTGACAGTTTGAGTGGCTTCGCGTTCCACTAGCTTTCATAAGGCATAAATAAGAAAGGATTTCTAGAATGTAATTGGTCACATTTGTAGAAACTGTTAAGAGAGGAGAGGAGTTTCCAGAAAGCGGATAAAGATTACAAGGATTCTTTTTCCCTTTTGAAGTTGTATGCAAATGAATGGAAATCTGAATTACGTAAATAGAGGAATGAACTAGTTGAAATCTCTTTGTCGTACGACTTCAAAATTGAAATATATTGTATGTATTATATAAAATAATGTAAATATGAAAACGTATACTACGATTGGCAAGTGCATTGTAAACAATAAAATTGCCAACACACGAAGAGTCAACAAAGGGGTTTCGGACATTTTCCCGGGGCGAATGATCATTTCAATTAATAAAATAATCAGTGTTTAGTTTGCATCGTCTTGCATCATGAATACCCTTGTGTCTTTAGCAAGCTCCGAAACTGGATTATAAGATTACCCTTTTATATTTGCGCGCACGTCTAAAAAATGGGCGTTTTTATTCTCTGTCGTATTTACAAAAGTTCTGTTGGACGCTAACGCACTTCCTATTAATCTATATATTTTTACGTACCGCCTCCTTTTTCAAGATTCATGAACGCCCCTTCCCCCTTTTCTACCGTTAGGGAACCTTTGCATAGTCTTGGGAAATGTCAAACTCTAATAATCTTCCCATTTCCCATTGTATGTTGTTCAGAAATTGAATTTTCATTATTCATAAAAATCCTCCCCTTTAGATCCGCCCCTCCTCCTTTTTCCTCCCAAAAAACCCCCCCAGACAAGTCCTTGACTTGATAGCGTGTTAGAAAAGGTTAAGAAAAGAAAAATAAAAAAATTGAAAACTGCCATCTTTTATATTCTTTCAAAAGTGCAAATGGAATTCGTTTGATAGTCGTCTTTTTAATTTTATGCTTTGGTGAACTCAGAAGTTTTATAGGTAGATTAATTTACAACACTTTTCAAACTGGGGACGTATAACTTTCAACCATGACGTCATTATAATATTTGTAACAGTTGACGTCCCAACTAATAAAAAGTAACGCTTCGGTAATTTTTATCTCTATTACCTCCTTTTTTCTTATTTTTTATTGTATATCAGTCATTTATTTATATATATTAACTTGTTTATAAAAAAATTATTTTTAGTGAGTGACAGATAGAGAGAGAGAGAGAGACACAAACAGACACAGAGAAAGAGAGAGAAGGGAGCAGTGACAAAGAAAGAATAAAGTAACAAAATCACGAAAATACGAGTTTATTTCTTAAAGTGTAAGGGTGAATTTATTATCTCCGTTGGTTTATCATTAATTTAAAAAAATTGAATTATAGGAAATATTTATAGACCATTCAAGGAAAACGATTTATCCAAAATAGGCCAATACAAATCCCTTGCGTCTTTACCAGCTAACGGCTCTATTACGTTACAATACTGTCCTTCTACCTCCTTCTTTCCCTTTCCTGTCATTTCTCTTTTTTTTGTTTTGTTTTACCGCCTTTTTAACACAAATTAGGTACAGATGTTTTTTTTATAGATGTGATCAATCCTTGTGACGTCATAAAGACGTCGTTATAAGCGGCACTTTTTTTTAATTTACACAACATAGTTAAAGAGAGGTAATTGATGCGACGGCGGGACGCCGTCGTCTTGACGTTTAACCTACTTTTCGTTTTACGGGGAATTGAAAAAGAATGCGTTCGCATAATAAATTGTTCATTGTAACTAATTTTTGGTCACACTTGAGATTTTACGATGGCACAATGTATATTGAATAATATATTACGTATAAGCTATAATAATATAACTTGAATTTCATGCTGCAAACAAAGTACAGTCGTTAGTTAACAACACATAGGACAACGAGCTATTAGAAGACAAGCACACACACACATATATATATATATATATATATATATATATATATATATATTTATACAGCACATCATAATATGTTTATTCTTGTTAATATTATCAATTAGGTCAAAAGGTCGCCGCAAATATGTAATAATCAATTAAATACACTGTAATACTACAATTAAATATGTTAGAAATTGCTTCCATACTTTTTTAATAGTTTAGGTCTGACTATTATCTAAAACAGCCAGATTTCTTGCGGATTTTTGCCAAGTGTTTAGAAAATGCTAGACTCTTCTTCGAAGCTACTCTTTTCATAGTTTTCCATCTTCATAAAACTCTTATTCTATCAAAATCGTTTACGGACCAATAAAAGACCTTAGTTGGTGCAGAAAAACTCCCAAATCGATGGAAATTACTTGAAAAATGCCCACCAATTTCTATGAATAAAGCGTTCGGTCCGCGGAGGAATGAAACGCCAAGATGAAGTATGAAAAGACCATAACTAACTTTCTCTGGAGAATTAATAGAAATTACGTAATATATGCATTAATATTTTTAGAATCCAAAATCAACATGACATCGGAATGTTAGCTCCAACGAAAATAAAAAGAAAAGAGAAAACTAACATCTTCTTTTAAATGTTGTCAAAAATAGCGAAAAGGAAAGGACAAAAAGAGAGAAATCAAAAGGAGCTTAACAGCTGCTAACCACATGTGACTTCCAAGAAAGATCCTAGAACCCAATTAGCATCGAGCCCCTTCAAATCCAAAAGAGATTCTTTGTACCTCATCACCCCGCAAATTACCCTAATTGATGTTCAATTCATTTCTACTTTTGCCTCAATACATATTACGCATCAACAAGATGAGGGGCGGTGACAGAAGGCCATCTGTGTAGGTGGTATACATTTTCTTACTATAAACAGGTAAAAATTCCAACAAGTAAAAAGCGTAGATGGAAAAATTCTATCAAATAGAAAAAAGGATAAAGAAACGTGTTAAAAAGTAAGAAAAGCCGCTTATATTTTCTCACACTATGTTCAAAATGGCGGTATTGTCGACTTTAAATAATAAACTCATAAACTATAAAAATGATATGGAAAAAAGGGTCAAAGAGAAAAAAATCTGTCGTAAAACGAGACAAAGAGCTGTGTTTTAAAAAGGAAAAAAAACCTGTGCAATATGGCTTCACTTACAGGGAAAAAAAGAAAAGGGAAAAGAGAAGGGTAGGAAGGGGGTTAAAAGTGTCCAAAAATCGAAACCCCGGTAGCCTTATAGCCTAAAAAAATTCCGCTTTGTTCGTAAAAGTTGAATATTGGGTTACGGACGCTGGATCCTATTTACAATGTACTTTTTTTTATAGGTATTAAACATTTTTTCCTGTTTGAAGTCATGTGTATATAGTAATAGTATACTTTGTTATTATTAGCGCTATGTACCAGTATTGAGTATCACCCATAATTTTTCATCATCTTAATTACAGTGTAGACCAAAAAAAGTGTAGAAGAAGGAGAAACGTTTCTCTTCAAGATAAACGTACTCTGTTGGGAAATAAATATACATAGTATATAGATATATGTCTGTTTATACACAGTGATATATATATATATAACTGTATTTACGGTAGGAAGTCTCATATATACTTTACATGTTTTTCTTTACAATGCGAATAAGAAGGAAAGGATAGTATTCATAGTATAAAGAAAAAAATCAACAATAACAACAACAAGAACAACAGCTCAAGGGCTATAAATTAATTTGCATATTATTTGTTTATATCTTATTAATTGTTTACGAAATTTGATAACATTTAATTTAAAATTAATAAAAAAATCAAAGATTTAAAGTAGAAAGCAAAGCAAACAAACGTTGATTGAATCTAAAGAACAATGTAAAGAAAACAATATAAAGAATAAAGAATTAAAAAAAAATCTTTTAATTGATTTGGCGGGAAAAGATAGAAGTAAAGAGATAAATTTAATTGAATGGGATATGAGTAAATAGGTGCAAATTTATGAATGAATTATTAAACGTTTAAGTATAATTTCTCATTCTGTCATCTCGTTTGTTAATTAGCTGCGATTCTATAAAAATTGACAGTCAAATGAATTATTCAAAAAAGACGAAAGGTAATTTTTATTCCTTTTATATAATTAGAACACGAGGGTATACTTAAAGCTTTTGTTATATTATTTGGATAATAGAAGCACTGAGCTTGTATGCAAATTAGCTATTGCGGCGTAAATCACGTTCGTGAACGCCGAAAGAACTTATAAAGGCATGAGTCGATTATGTAACGGCAATAGAACACCGGTCGAGTTGTGCAGCATGCACATGCCGTAATCTTGACCATGACGTCATAAAGTGTTAATAACGAGTGTCCAACACCTTAGCTGAGAACGCCCTCACGGCGGGAATTTTGATTTTTTCTATTCTTTCTAACAGACAGCCGGACGCTCGTTAAAGAATGTAATAACTTCCTTCGACACTACGCCATCTGTTGATTTTTGTTGACTGGTATTTTCGGTTTACTTGCTTGAAAACGTTAATTAAGCGCTTTTTGAAAGGTGAAGCGTCCTCTATATTGAAAGTAAATGAAAATCTTTTCAACCATAAGCGTAATGCCACACGCGCAATCTAAAAATAGATTTTAAAAAGACGCCAAACGACGCCCAAAAATTCCAAAGGTCTCAGTATCTGATAGTTTATCGCGAGAAAAATACATCATACTCATTTTTAGTACATTTTTTAAAAGAAATCCGACAACCGAGAGAGCGGATTATCCTAAATTTAAATATTTAAATTAGACTATGTAAATTAGTATAAACAATAGTCAAGAGTTCAAAATAATCTTTACATTGTTACCCAATTTATAGATTCGTTGGTATTACATTACTTCGTATTTTATTTGAATATAATAACGTTACGCAAAATATTATAAAAATGATAAAACTCAATTATGATTGTTTATAGAAGCAGTAAACGTCAATTATTATCGGTTGGTGCATTTCTTTCTATATTAGTGATATATTATGGCGGAAAAAGTATATTAACGACAATACAACGTAACAAATATAGACCGGATTCCTTAGCTATACATTTGATACTGAATAAATATTTTCATAAACCGGCCTTTGGTCTACCCTTAAACCTTACAAATCCTTATAAGTACGATTATTCTGAGTATGGTCAATCAATTTACGTTGACGAAATTTTTGATGGGAAAGAAAATGGAACTTATATAGAATGCGGTGCTGGTGATGGAGAAACCTACTCTAATAGTTTATTTTTTGAAATTAGACGAAAATGGACGGGTGTACTAATTGAAGCAGGTATAAAGACTTATTATTATTATTATTAAGAAATTCCCAAGCTATATAAGACTTAATTTTTGCTTAAAAAAAGGAAGGAAAAATTACGATTTATTGAAAATGAAAAAAAGGAAAGCCATATTGATTAATGCCGCTTTAGGGAATAAAACTGAATTGGTTAAATTCATAGAAGCTGGTTTTACTGGTGGAATTGATAAAAATATGGAGAAATCACATAAAAAATGGATTTTCCAAAATTTTCCTTATAATTTGACAAATTCTAAGCAGCTTATTCAATCTTTTAGATTTATTGATATAATTGAAGCGGTTGGAATGAAAGTTGTAGATTATTTGATCTTAGATGTTGAAGGATCCGAGATAACTATATTGGAAACTATTCCATTAAGCCTATACGTTATAAATATTATACAGGTAGAATTTCTAGTTAAAATGGATGTTGAGAAAACCTCAAGAAAACTTGATAAGATCAAAGATATAATTCTGTCAACGAATTTATATATATATTTTGATATTATTAAAAATACTGATGCTCTCTTCATCCGAAAAGATATATTCTATGATTTTGAGAAGCGTTCAACCAAACCCTTATAATTTCATTTCTAGCTGAATACTACTTATGTAAAGTACAAAAAATAGTGAAATAAGTTGTAAATATTGTGTTCTATCAATAGATGGCGTTTTGTTGCTTTAAACAATTTTCCTTTTCAAATATTTAATGGGACAGCCTTTTTACTGCTCCTGCAAAAGCTGTTGCATAGTTAGATTAAAAACCGAAAATTATACAATGAAGCGATTGTATAATCACCATGGGAACGTAAATTTTGTTCTTTCATCTCATCTAAATGATTGAAAGGAAAAAGAAGGGAATGCGTAACTACAAAGGTACAAATTATCTTTGGAATGCTACTTATTACAATAAAGCGTTTTAAGTAACAGATAATGAAAATTTGTTTGGAAAATAAAATAAAATACTATTAAAAGCTACTAATTGAAAGAGGAGAAGCAGAGAGAATGAAGAAAACATTCCTGGAATAGTATTACCATATTACGCAATTGCATCAAACTATCTTCCTTTTCTTCTCCTGCAAGTTGAATAGAGCATAATTAATTAAGATGAAATCGTAAAAAAAAAATCAATATCGAAGCTTAAACTGAACTCAATTTCGATTGAATCTCTTTCATTCGTGCAAGCTATCAAGAATAAGGATTTCTATAGTAATTGAATAACCTTGTGACATGAGCTGACGTAATAGTTCTTTAAAAGTATACTTTTATTGGAGATACCGTGACAATAGTTGCTGATTTATTTAAATATTTTTCTATTACAGTCTCCTTCTCTAACTAATCAAGTTTTGATCATTTTAGAATATTCGTATACTAATTTATTCATAATATTTAAAATTTAAATTCATTATAACGATTTTAAACAGTATAATGAAAATAACCTTCCTTTGTTCAGTCTCTTTATTTTTTTCGGCTTAGACGTTAAATGATGGAATTAGTCAAACACTGGTCTGATTAGAATAATGAATTATTGCTAAAACGGTAATGGTTGAAGACACTGGTTCTTTATATCTGCCAATATGACATCAATAACGGAATACTTCAAACATAAAATCATGATAGAAATAGGTTCTCACTCATAGATAAACAAACTACAACTATGTGTTAAAATTGTTTGCATCAGTAATATCGAAATTTAAAGAATCCTAATTAAGTGATGTAAATACGCTTATCAGAATGGGAAAATATTCTAAAGAAACTTCTTTGCTGTACTACTTTGTTATACGTGAAAAGCGAGTTTACTTTCAATTTTTATATAAGTTAAATATGTAATACGTTTTGAAGCAAAATCTATAAGTTAATAAAGTTATTCATTAAAAATAACTATATATATAAGGTCAAATGTTAAGTTAAAAAGAAAAAAGAGTCTTTTTTCAGAAATTGCCCTTTTCTCTTGTCATAAAATCAAGGATTCGTAAAATTTAGTTTCATCAATTTTTTACTGAGAAAAATTTTATAATAAACCCATGTTTCAGCATATTACAGAATATCTTTAAAATATTGAATTTGCAGTCTTTTCAGAGTCCAATACTTGCATATTTCAATAATGAGTTCAAAAGTTTAATAAAAGTGCTTTATTTGTAAATTATATTTTAATTTTTATATTATAGTCTTATATATTACCCAATTTAATCTCTTTTAACATATTTATTATAATCTTCAAATATGTTGTCTGAGATAATACTTTTTAAGCTATTTTATTTGTACCCTATAACACTCAAGATGGCGTTAGCATACGATTAGTTTGTTATACTAGTTTTGTATTTCAGAACCTTTTTTTTGGATTGTTTTTGTATTGTTTTTTTTCTTTCTAGTAAAGTATTTTGTCAACAATTTGTCATACAAAGTTGAAAATATAAAAATAACTTTTTTCAATCAAAATTGTTTCATATAACCAAAAAAGAATATCAATTATTCACAGATATAAATTTTATACTGTAGCATAAAATCATCAACAGTCTCTTCAATGTCATTAACATTGAAAGATAAAATAATCTTTTTTTTATTTAAATAATATGAGAAATGTAAAAAAATAAAAAAAGTCATATAAAAGAAACAAATATAGCAACCATAATTTGCTAATTGATTAGTGGTGTTCAATGGAAAAGTAGACAAGGGATAGACGATGATATAGCTAGAAGGAAAATGCTAAATTTTGTTTGGGTGCCTGATACTTCTGTGGTTGTCAAAATGGTTGGTTCAGTGGTTGGTTTAGTAGTTGGTACAGTGATTGGTTCAGTGATCAGAGTGATGGTTGATTTCGCAGTTAGTTCCGTTGTTGGTTTGGTAGTTGGTTTAGTTGTCGGAGTGATGGTTGTTGGTTCAGGAGCAATGTTAAAAAAGTCTTCGCATTTCGTCATAATCCAGTCGGGAACTTTAAAAAATTAGACAAGTCATTAGGTTACAATATCTAATCAAATATGTAGTTAACCCTACTGGAAGGCAATCCGTCACTTGATGTACAAGTTTCTGGGGATTCATTGAGTTCACTTCGATCTGTAATAAAATCTTTTACTAAGGCTTCTGGAGGAGCTCCGAACTTCATCGCGCATTTGAAGCTATCAAGAACATCATCGGTTACAATAGCACATGCTCCAATTCTTGAAGCTGGAGCGGAAAAAGTGATCCTTGGCTCGTCAAAGGTTCCAAAGGTTAACGCCTTGTCGTCCTTATCAGTCATAATACCTTTAGGTGCCCAGTTTCCGCTGTAGTCGTTAAAGCAAAAAGCAAGATTTTGGTTGTTACCTAAGTTTGCATGAGTTTTTCTTTTACAGTTTGGTATAGCTATTGAGAAACAAATTAAAGTGAAAATGTGTGTTTTAAAAACATATTGATATATACCCATAGCAACGACAAAAGCCGAATACGAATCAGTTAAATTGCCATTTTTAAAACCAGAGCAAGAATATTTGCCGGTAAGGTAAGTTGCTGTTACCAGAACAGTAAGATCAAAAACGTTTGGCGTTGCGAATCGAAAAAGGTGTTTTAAGAAACTATAGACTTTAAATGAGTCTGAAACAACCACACCTATCCCAGTCTGACTTTGAATAAGTGAATAAATGACGGCGTCGTGATCATTTTCGTTAATATCGTTGCATCTTAATACTATTGATGTGTTAAGTCTGGCAACAGTATTGGCTAGTCTCGTATTCTTATCGGGAAGTTTTAAAAATTCCAGACAGCATTTCTTTAAATAAGCTGGTACATTGGTGTCCCCATTAGCATGATTGTCACAAGTAGTTCCAGAAAATTCTGGAGGCTTAGCATGATAGCTTTTATCATGAACAAGATCATATGGGGGAGATTCAAAATCAAAAGCACATTTGAACGACGCGTTCTTATCAATGAGAGCACAGGCTCCTACAGCTAAAATAAATAACAATCAATTAGTTAAAACCTTTCTATTAAACTGATTTTATATACTCGAATATTTAGCGTTTGAACGACCAGCATTATCATCATGACTTGTAAATTGAACGAAATTCATGAGATTGTCAACTGTCTCTATCTTTACTCTTGGTGCCCAATTTCCAGCATATTACGTATGGCAATAGCGATATCTTTATTTAGTTCATAGTCTTGATTCGGTACATCAACCTTCGCACACTTAGGAGTTTCATCTTAAAAATGAAAAAGTTTTAAACTTGTCAATACAGAACTGTCTTTGAATACAGCTGTGTTTACTGGGCGATAGCGCAGTTTAGCCCCATCACATATTACAATAACTGAAAAGCAAAGTTTTTAACTTTCATTTTAAAGTTAGAAATATAATAAAACTTAATAAAAACTCACTGGAGAAAGTAATAAAAATCCATTGAAATGCTTGGAACTTGAACATTTTGTCGAGTTTCGTTCGAAAGTCTAGCTCCTTATGGTGCAACACAATAAATTGTGAAAGAATTAGTTAATTTGTAGTTGTTTTTAGTTGGCTTTATATTTACTTCCTAAATTACAACTTAGATTAGATATTTTAATGACCCGATGGTTAAGATTACTTAAGTAGTGCGAAATAGATACAGTGATGAATAATTTACAATTTTGTATTCTCTTTTTATAAAGACACTTTTAGAACTGATAATAGGGAATAATCAAAAAAAAGAAACTAAGTAAAGAAGTATTTATAACTAATTTACGAATAATTGAATACAAAACAATGAAAAAGTCAAGAGAAGGATGAAATTTTATTGCAACGTCAAGAGATTTTACTATATTAGTATCATCATCATAATTTAAAAGTAGTTTCGATATAATTTTAAATTATTGTTTAACAAGTCTGTCTATACAGTAAAATAATAAATTCAATATATATAATGCTAAATGAAAACTGCCAAGGTGAATAAAAAAATAGTATTAGAAGAGAAGGTGTATTTGAAAATATTCTTCTGAAAGAGATCAATTTAAATTTCGAAGAACCTAAATAATTTTAAAAAGAAGAAATCTCAACCTTTAAGGGGTAACTTTGAAATCAGATAACATTTGAACTTTTCAAACAGATTTAATATAATCTTCAAATATATTGTCTGAGATAATACTTTTCAAGCTATTTTAATTACACGATAAAAGACTTAAGATTTTGTTAGCATACGATTAGTTTTTTATAATATTTAAGAATCTTTTTTCGGATTTATTTTTTTATTTTCTTTTTTCTTTCAAGTAAAGTATTTTGTCAACAATTTGTCATACAGGAGTTGAAAATATAAAAACAACTTTTTTCAATCAAAATTGTTTCATATAGCCATAAAGGAATATCAATTATTCACAGATATATGGTATAAAGTCACCAACAATCTATTCAATGTCATTAATATTGAAAGAGAAAATCATCTTTTTTATATTTAAACAATTTGAGAAATTGTAAAAAAATAAAAATAAGAGTCATGTAAAAAAAGCAAATATAGCAATCATAATTTGCTAAATAATTAGTTGTTTTCAATGGAAAAGTAAACAAGTGACAGAAGAAAATATTGCTAGAACGAAAATACTAAATTTTGTTTGGGTAGCTGATGCTTCTGTGGTTGTCGAAATGGTTAGTTCGGTGGTTCCTTTGGTAGATAGTTTGGTGATAGATATGGTTGTTGGTTCGGTAGTTTGCTTGGTGGTTGGTTTAGAAGGTTGTTTGACAGTTGGTTTGGTAGTCGGTTTCGTAGTCAGAGTGATGGTTGGTTTAGTAGTTGGTACAGTGATTGGTTCAGTGGTCAGAGTGATGGTTGATTTCGCAGTTAGTTCCGTTGTTGGTTTGGTAGTTGGTTTAGTTGTCGGAGTGATGGTTGTTGGTTCAGGAGCAATGTTAAAAAAGTCTTCGCATTTCGTCATAATCCAGTCGGGAACTATAAAAAATTACATAACAAATTAAGTTACAATACTTACTCCAATATGTAGTTAAACATACTTGAAGGCAATCCGTCACTTGATGTACAAGTTTCTGGAGATACATTAGGTTCACTCCTATCTGTAATAAAATCTTTAATTAAGGCTTCTGGAGGGGCTCCAAATTTCATTGAGCACTTGAAGCTATCAAGAACATCATCAGTTACAATAGCACATGCTCCGATTCTTGAAACTGGAGCGAAACTGCCGATCCTTGGCTCGTCAAAAGTACCCAAGGTTAACACCTTGTCGTCCTTATCAGTCATAGTAACTTTAGGTGCCCAGTTTCCACTGTAGTCGTTGAAGCAAAAAGCAAGATTTTGGTTATTACCCAAGTTTGCATGAGTTTTTCTTTTACAGTTTGGTATAGCTATTGAGAAAAAAATTAAAGTGAAAACGTTGTTTCAATAACATATTGATATATACCCATAGCAACGACAAAAGCTGAATAAGAATCAGTTAAATTGCCATTTTTAAAACCAGAGCAAGAATATTTGCCAGTGAGCTGAGTTGTTGTATCCAGAACAGTAAGATCAAAAACGTTTGGCGTTTCGAATCGAAATAGGTTTTTTAAGTGATCATAAACTTCAAATGAGTTTGTAAGAATCCAACCTTCACCAGTTTGACTTTGAGTAAGTGTATAAGCGCCAGCGTCGTGTTCATTTTCGTTAATATCGTTGCATTTTAATACTGTTGATGCGTCAAGTCTGGCAACAGTATTGGTTAGTCTTGTATTCTTATCGGGAAGTTTAAGAAATTCCAGACACTTCTCCTTCAAATAAGCTGGTACATTGGTGTCTACACTAGCAGGATTCTCACAAATAGTTCCAGAAAATTCTGGAGGCTCATCATGATAACTTTTGTCAAAAACAAGATCATATGGGGGAGCTTCAAAATCAAAAGCACATTTGAACGACGCGCCCTTATCAATGAGAGCACAGGCTCCTACAGCTAAAATAAATAACAATCAATTAGTCAAAACCTTTCTATTAAACTTATTTTATATACTCGAATATTTAGCGTTTGAAGGACCAGCATTATCATCATGACTTGTAAATTGAGCGAAATTCATGAGATTGTTAGCTGTCTCTATCTTTACTCTTGGTGCCCAATTTCCAGCGTATTCCGTATGGCAATAAGCAATATCTTTATTTTGTACATAGTCTTGATTCGGTACATCAACCTTCGCACACTTAGGAGTTTCATCTTAAAAAAGAAAAATTTTTAAATTTGTCAATACAGTAGTGAAAAACTGGAAGAATACACACCAATTGCTGAAAGATATGCATGATAGTAAGTGTCTCTGCTGCCATTACGGAACCCTACACATTCATACAATCCAGTTGTATATTCATCTACTTTTGTATTGAGAAGGTGATAGTTGTCGTCATCCGGTAGTTTAAATCTGCTTTGAAGGTGTATCAAGATTTCGTAGTTGTTGGCAATAATATAATGATCACTGGTTTGACTTGCTTTAAATACCCAATTTGTATATTCGTAATAACCTGGTGCATCTATAGCTGAGCAATTTAAAAGTGCAGAACTGTCTTTGAATACAGCTGTGTTTACTGGGCGATAGCGAAATTTCAGAGGTTGAGTGGTTGGTTTGGTAGTTAGTTTGGTGGTCGGAGTGATGGTTGTCGATTCATGAGCAATGTTGAAAAAGTCCTCGCATTTCGTCATAATCCAGTCAGGAACTATAAAATATTAGACAAGAAATTAAGTTACAATACTTACTCCAATATGTAGTTAAACATACTTGAAGGCAATCCGTCACTTGATGTACAAGTTTCTGGAGCTTCATTAGGTTCACTCCGATCAGTAATAAAATCTTTAATTAAGGCTTCTGGAGGGGCTCCAAATTTCATTGAGCACTTGAAGCTATCAAGAACATCATCAGTTACAATAGCACATGCTCCGATTCTTGAAACTGGAGCGAAACTGCCGATCCTTGGCTCGTCAAAAGTACCCAAGGTTAACACCTTGTCGTCCTTATCAGTCATAGTAACTTTAGGTGCCCAGTTTCCACTGTAGTCGTTGAAGCAAAAAGCAAGATTTTGGTTATTACCCAAGTTTGCATGCGTTTTTCTTTTACAGTTTGGTGTAGCTATTGAGATAATAATTAAAGTGAAAACGTTGTTTCAATAACATATTGATATATATACCCATGGCAACGACAAAAGCTGAATAAGAATCAGTCAAATTGCCGTTTTTAAAACCAGAGCAAGAATATTTGCCTGTCAGCTGAGTTGTTGTATCCAGAACAGTAAGATCAAAAATGTTTGGCGTTGCGAATCGAAAGATATTTTTTAAATGCTCAACAACCTCAAATGAGTTTGTAAGAATCCAACCTTCACCAGTTTGACTTTGAGTAAGAGTATAAACGCCAGCGTCGTGTTCATTTTCGTTAATATCGTTGCATTTTAATACTGTTGAAGCGTTAAATCTGGCAACAGTGTTGGTTAGTCTCGTATTCTTATCAGGAAGTTTAAGAAATTCCAGACACTTCTCCTTCAAATAAGCTGGTACATTGGTGTCTACACTGGCAGGATTCTCACAAGTAGTTCCAGAAAATTCTGGAGGCTCATCATGATAACTTTTGTCAAAAACAAGATCATATGGGGGAGCTTCAAAATCAAAAGCACATTTGAACGACGCGCCCTTATCAATGAGAGCACAGGCTCCTACAGCTAAAATAAATAACAATCAATTAGTTGAAATCTTTCTATTAAACTTATTTTACATACTCGAATATTTAGCTTTGGAAGAACCAGGATTATCATCATGACTTGTAAATTGAGCGAAATTCATGAGATTGTTAGCTGTCTCTATCTTTACACTTGGTGCCCAATTTCCAGCGTATTCCGTATGGCAATAAGCGATATCTTTATTTTGTTCATAATCTTGATTTGGTACATCAACCTTCGCACAATTAGGAGTTTCGTCTTAAAAATAAAAAAGTTTTAAACTTGTCAATAGAGAATTAAAAAACTTTAAGAAGACACACCAATTGCTGAAAGATATGCATGATAGTAAGTGTCTCTGCTGCCATTACGGAACCCTACACATTCATACAATCCAGTTGTATATTCATCTACTTTTGTATTGAGAAGGTGATACGTGTCGTCATCCGGTAGTTTAAATCTGCTTTGATGGTGTGGCAAGATGTCGTAGTTGTTGGCAATAATATAATGATCACTGATTTGACTTGCTTTAAATACCCAATTTGTATATTCGTAATAACCTGGTGCATCTATAGCTGAGCAATTTAAAAGTGCAGAACTGTCTTTGAATACAGCTGTGTTTACTGGGCGATAGCGAAGTTTAGCCCCATCGCATATTACAATAACTGAAAAACAAAGTTTTTAACTTTCATTTTAAAATTAGAAATATAATAAAACTTAATAAAAACTCACTGGAGAAAGTAATAAAAGCCCATTGAAATGTTTGGAACTTGAACATTTTATCGAGTTCCGTTTGAAAGTCAAGCTGCTTCTGGTCTAACACGACAAGTTGTGAAAGAATTCCTTAATTTGTAGTTGTTTCTAGGTGGCTATAAATTTACTTCCTAAATTACAACTTAGATTAGATATTTTAATGACCCGATGGTTAAGATTACTTAAGTACTGCGAAATAGATAAAGTGATGAATAATTAACAATTTTGTATTCTCTTTTTATAAAATTACTGTTTTAACAGACACATTTATAACTGATAATAGGGAATAATCAAAAAGAGAGGCTAAGTAAAGAAGTATTTATAACTAATTTACGAATAATTGAATATAAAACAATGAAAAAGTTAAGAGAAAGATGAAATTTTATTGCAACGTCGAGTGATTTTACTACATGAGTGTCATCATAAGAATTTAAAAGTATTTTCTATATATTTTTAACTTATTGTTTAACAAGTCTGTTATACGGTAAAATAATAAATTCAATATTGTTTATGCTAAATGAATACTGCCAAGGTCAATAAAAAAATATTATTAAAAGAGAAGGTGTATTTGAAAATATTCATCTTAAAGAGATCAATTTAAATTTCGAAGAGCCTTAATAATTTTAAAAGAAGAAATCTCAACCTTTAAGGGGTAACTTTGAAATCAGATAACATTTGAATGTTTCCTCTATAAACAGCTTTTATAGCTAATATTTTAATGTTACCTTTTATCTATTAGATTCCGTTCTTTGGCATTTTATTATAAATATTTAAATTATATGTTTTTTAATTAAAATTAAAAAAATTTCGCCAACGATCTAAAAAAAAAGTTTTGATTGCTAACCTTTCAAAAATTACTATCTTATCTACTATTTACTTTCTTACCAATTGTATGACGAAGAGGTAAATAACATAACGATTATTTAAACAAAGAAGATGGGAGTCTCTCCCCTCTACTTGTTTCCTTTTTTATAAATTCTTAAGTAACTATTAGCAAAATAATAAAAAGAAGAAGAAGAAAGAGAAGAAAATAAACTAACAGAATGAAGGGAAAAAATGAAAGGATGGATAGGGAATAATAGAAAGAATGGAATAAGGATATTTTTCCTATCGCCCTCTCCTGTCCGCCTCCAAAACGTTCAAAAGAGACGTCGATGTATGATTGACGTGCAATTTACACTCGGTTGTTAACACAGATGACAAACGTGTATTTTATATGCAATTATAGGGCCCACCTTATTCCCTATTATTTTCTCAAGGTTCTTTTTGTTGTTCGCCTTGTTTCCTCAACTTTTAGTCTTGTCCAGTCAATAATTTTACTCTTTTTCTTTAAAGACACGTCTTTGCTATTTATACATTTAAAAAAAAAACAATTCTCGATTGGGAATTTATTTTAATGGATCCAAAGTTTCTTTGCTTTGTAAGAACCTTTTAAAACATGAGACCATTTTAACGGGTTTTCATAATTGAGCTATATAGAGACAAAACTAAGGATATAGAGGGATAAGGAACAACTTATCTAATCGATTCTCTATAGGGATTTCGTTTTCTCTTTTATAATAATAGACACTTTTAATATGCCGTAAACTTTTAGTCAATATTTGAAAACAGTATACAATATAGACACATCGAAAAATTAAAGGACCATTAGAATATTCACATACTAATTTATTCATAATCTTTAAAATTTTAATTCATTATAACGATATTAAATAGTATATTAATAATTATACACAACTTTGCTTTGTTCAATCTTTTTAATTTTTTTTTGGCTTATACGTTACATGATGGAATAAGTCAAACAGTAGTGATCTTAATAGAATAATGAATCATTACTAACACGGAAATGGTTGAAGCCACTGGTTCTTTATATCTATCAATATGAAATCAATAATGGACTACTTCAAAGATAAAATCATGATAGAAATAGGTTCTCACTCAGAGATAAACAAACTAGAACTCTGCGTTAAAATTGTTGGTATCAGTAATATCCAAAATGTAAAGAATCCAACTTAAATGATGTAAATACCCTTATCAGAATGAGAAAATATTTTAAAGAAACTTCTTTGTTATACTTAAAGTGTTTATTTGACTAGAAATCAAAGAAAAAAGCTTTTTCTATTTCAATTGAATCAAGTTGAAAAGAATTTATTGTTAAAAGCATAGAATTCAACGAGTTCCTACTATTAGACTGGGTGAAAAGCGAGTTTACTTCCAATTTTTATATAAGTTAAATATGTAATAGTTTTGAAACGAAATCTAAAAGTTAATAAAGTTTAATAGTTATTAAAAAAAACTATATATATAAGGTCAAATGCTAAGTTAAAGAGGATAAAGAGTCTTTATTGAGAAATTGCTCTTTTCCTTTTGTCATAAAATCAAGGATTCGTAAGATTTTGTTTCATCAATTTTTTTCTGAGATAAGTTTAATCATTAATCACCAATGTTTCAGTACATTACAGAATATATTAAAAATATTGTATTTGCAGTCTTTTCAGAGTCAAATACTTGCAAATTTCAATAATAAGTAAAAAAGTTTGACAGAAATGTAAATTATCTTTTAATTTTTATATTATACTCTTATTTTATATCCAATTAAATCTCTTTCAACTTTTCGAACAGATTTATTATAATCTTCAAATATATTGTCCGAGATAATAATTTTCAAGCTCTTTCAATGATACCATAAAACACTTAAGATGGCGTTAGCATACGATTAGTTTTTTATAATATTTAAGAATCTTTTTTCGGATTTATTTTTTTATTTTCGTTTTTCTTTCAAGTAAAGTATTTTGTCAACAATTTGTCATACAAAGTTGAAAATATAAAAACAACTTTTTTCAATCAAAATTGTTTCATATAACCAGAAAAGAATATCAATTATTCACAGATATATAGTATAAAATCATCAGCAGTCTATTCAATAGCATTGACAGTGAAAGAGAAAATCATCTTTTTTTTAGTTAAATAACTAGAAAAGTAGTAAAAAAAATAAAAGTCATGTAAAAGAAACAAATCTAGCAACCATAATTAGTCAATTAATTAGTTGTGTTCAATGGAAAAGTACACATGTGATAGATGAAAATATAGCAAGTAGGAAAATACTAAATTTTGTTTGGGTAGCTGATGCTTCTGTGGCTGTCAGAGTGGTTGCTTTAGTGGTTGCTTTGGTAGTTGGTTTGGTGGTTGCTTTGGTAGTTGGTTTAGTTGTCGGAGTGATGGTTGTTGGTTCAGGAGCAATGTTAAAAAAGTCTTCGCATTTCGTCATAATCCAGTCGGGAACTATAAAAAATTACATAACAAATTAAGTTACAATACTTACTCCAATATGTAGTTAAACATACTTGAAGGCAATCCGTCACTTGATGTACAAGTTTCTGGAGATACATTAGGTTCACTCCGATCTGTAATAAAATCTTTAATTAAGGCTTCTGGAGGGGCTCCAAATTTCATTGAGCACTTGAAGCTATCAAGAACATCATCAGTTACAATAGCACATGCTCCTATTCTTGAAGCTGGAGCAGAACTGCCGATCATTGGCTCGTCAAAAGTGCCAAAGGTTAACGCCTTGTCGTCCTTATCAGTCATATTAACTTTAGGTGCCCAGTTTCCACTGTAGTCGTTGAAGCAAAAAGCGAGATTTTGGTTAATACCTAAGTTTGCATGAGTTTTTCTTTTACAGTTTGGTATAGCTATTGAGAAACAAATTAAAGTGAAAACGTTGTTTCAATAACATATTGATATATACCCATAGCAACGACAAAAGCTGAATAAGAATCAGTTAAATTGCCGTTTTTAAAACCAGAGCAAGAATATTTGCCTGTCAGCTGAGTTGTTGTATCCAGAACAGTAAGATCAAAAACGTTTGGCGTTTCGAATCGAAATAGGCTTTTTAAGTGATCATAAACTTCAAATGAGTTTGTAAGAATCCAACCTTCACCAGTTTGACTTTGAGTAAGTGTATAAGCGCCAGCGTCGTGTTCATTTTCGTTAATATCGTTGCATTTTAATACTGTTGATGCGTCAAGTCTGGCAACACTATTGGTTAGTCTCGTATTCTTATCGGGAAGTTTAAGAAATTCCAGACACTTCTCCTTCAAATAAGCTGGTACATTGGTGTCTACACTGGCGGGATTCTCACAAGTAGTTCCAGAAAATTCTGGAGGCTCATCATGATAACTTTTGTCAAAAACAAGATCATATGGGGGAGCTTCAAAATCAAAAGCACATTTGAACGACTCGCCCTTATCAATGAGAGCACAGGCTCCTACAGCTAAAATAAATAACAATCAATTAGTTGAAATCTTTCTATTAAACTTATTTTATATACTCGAATATTTAGCGTTTGAAGGACCAGCATTATCATCATGACTTGTAAATTGAGCGAAATTCATGAGATTGTTAGCTGTCTCTATCTTTACTCTTGGTGCCCAATTTCCAGCGTATTCCGTATGGCAATAAGCAATATCTTTATTTTGTACATAGTCTTGATTCGGTACATCAACCTTCGCACACTTAGGAGTTTCATCTTAAAAAAGAAAAATTTTTAAATTTGTCAATACAGTAGTGAAAAACTGGAAGAATACACACCAATTGCTGAAAGATATGCATGATAGTAAGTGTCTCTGCTGCCATTACGGAACCCTACACATTCATACAATCCAGTTGTATATTCATCTACTTTTGTATTGAGAAGGTGATACGTGTCGTCATCCGGTAGTTTAAATCTGCTTTGAAGGTGTATCAAGATTTCGTAGTTGTTGGCAATAATATAAGTATCACTGGTTTGACTTGCTTTAAATACCCAATTTGTATATTCGTAATAACCTGGTGCATCTATAGCTGAGCAATTTAAAAGTGCAGAACTGTCTTTGAATACAGCTGTGTTTACTGGGCGATAGCGAAATTTAGCCCCATCGCATATTACAATAACTGAAAAACAAAGTTTTTAACTTTCATTTTAAAGTTAGAAATATAATAAAACTTAATAAAAACTCACTGGAGAAAGTAATAAAAATCCATTGAAATGCTTGGAACTTGAACATTTTATCGAGTTCCGTTTGAAAGTCAAGCTGCTTCTGGTCTAACACGACAAATTGTGAAAGAACTGCTTAATTTGTAGTTGTTTCTAGGTGGCTATAAATTTACATCTTAAATTTACAACTTAGATTAGAACCTTTAATAACCCTATTGTTAAGATTACTTAGCTACTTCAAAATAGATAAAATGATGAATAATTAACAATTTTGTATTCTCTTTTTATAAAATTACTATTTTTATATAGATATTGAAAATTGCCAATAGGCAATAATCAAAAAGAGAGGCTAAGTAAAGAAGTATTTATAACTAAGTCACGAATAAATGAATACAAAACAATGAAAGAGTTAAGAGAAGGATGAAATTTTATTGCAACTTCAAGTGATGTTACTATGGAAATGTCATCATCATAATTTAAAAGTATTTTCGATATAATTTTAACTTATTGTTTAACAAGTATGTCTATACGGTAAAATAAAAAATTCAATATAGTTAAGGTTAAATGAAAACTGCCAAGGTCAATAAAAAAATATTATGAAAGGGGAGGGGGTTTTTGAAAATGTTCAACTTAAAGAGATCAATTTAAATTTCGAAGAACCTTAAAAATTTTAAAAAGTAGAAATGTGAACCTATAGGTGGTTAGCTTTGAAATCAGATATCATTTGAATGTTTCCTCTATAAACAGCTTTTATGGCAAAAATTTTAGTGTTACCTTTTATCTATTAGATTCCGTTCTTTTGCATTTTATTATAAATATTTAAATTAAGTGTTCTAATTATAGATGAACTTCATTCATTGTCTAAAAAAAGATATTTTTTAGCAATGAACTAAAGTTATGATGTCTAATAGAGCTGTTTTTAACGTTACCTTGGAATTAAGTCATAAAACTTGCATCATATATTTAGATTTTAAATGTCAAGTACTGGATATATAGAAATGATATCAATTGAAAACTGTTTTTTAAAATATCCTTCTAGTTCTTTCATCAACAAAATTCATATTTATCTGCAAGTGTTTAATTGTTGAATTGTCTTTAGAAGTTAAGTAATGGACAGTAAGAAATTAATAGAAGTCGGATGAAAGGTTGTTAAAGTTATTTGATTAATAGTTTTTAAAGAAAAACATGGCTCAGCCTGATGAACTGGAGGCTAGTTAAGCGAGGAAAGTCGTATGACTATTTTGTCTGCAGTAATAATTATAAATATCTATTTAACGTATTTAATTATTAATAAATATATAGATATATAAAATAATAAGGAATTTATCTGGACATATATGGTGTATATATTAATATATACATACAATACATATAACGGAAACATAATGTTCTTAATCAACTACGTACAACATTAATAACAACAAGTTATGTTTTTATATGAAATATATATAAATGTATATATAATTTTATATATATTCATAATTTTGTGTCTTGAAAACTGAGGAATATTTGCAGATACAAAGAAATAGTAAAAGGAGCTTTTTCCTTTACAGTTGATGTAAAAAAAAATGCAAACGGGAAAAATAAAGAAGAATCAAACACGAGATAAAACTTTTGAAAGTCTATTTTATCAATGTTAAAACGAAAAGAGGAAAAATAAGAAACAAGAAGAATAGTTTTATATATATATACATAAAAAAGATTGTTTGATCGTTCTTTTCAAATACTTTAGTATCTTAAAACAAATTTTTCTCACTTAGTCACCAATGAATGAGTATCTGTTCAATTTAAAAAAAGAAACTGAACATATTTCTTTTAAGAGTAGTCTCTCTTTTAATTGAAAATAAAGAAAAAAAACAAAATATGTAAATAGGAAAAAAAAGAATTTTTGAACGTTGCTACAAGCATTTTTTCCCCAATTTTTTAAGCATTACTAGCTCCTCCTTGGCTGAGATTAATATAATCATGATTGACATCGTCATGTTTTAAGCTAGGTGGAATTGTAATTGACTTTCGTATTCTGTGGGCAATATCAATAAAAGCAGGTCTCTTATCGGGATCGAAATTCCAACATTCTCTCATCAATTCATAACTAAGAATAGAAAAAATTCATAAGATAATTTCAAATAAAACAGATAAAAATATAAAACTAAAGAAAAGCGGCTGTAAAGAGCCAATTAAATTATAAAGTCATAAAAAATTCTCACATATCATTGGGACAGACTTTCGGTCTAGCTAATTGCTTTCCAGTAGCAATATGATCATATAAATTTTTATTCTCTATATCTTTATAAGGTATTTGACCCCTTTGAAGTACTTCCCATAGTAATACGCCAAAAGACCACTAAAAATATTTCAATTTTAGAGAGTAACCAAAAATAAATAAAGATACTCACAACGTCCGATTTCGATGTGAATTCCATACGTTCTAAAACTTCGATGGCCATCCACTTAACAGGTAACTTCAATTCTCCTGACTAGTGATTTTATCAAAAATTATAATTATTAATAACTTTTCTTTCAAATTAAAAAACGTAATGTTTCACGCTACCGAATTATCTTTTCTCTTCTTTTTGGGATTCTTATATATTTCTTCAGAAAGACCAAAATCAGCTACTTTAACTACTTCGTCCATATCAATCCTATAGTATTTTTATAAAATTTTAAATGTTTTAATTAATCATACTATTAAATATTGCTATTTTAATTTTACATACATGCAATTTCTAGCTGCTAAATCTCTATGAACAAATCTTAAACTAGAGATATAGGCCATACCATTTGCTATTTGTTCGCCATAGCCTAATAATTGGTTTAAATAGAACGTCTGTAAATTAATTTAGAGACTATTAAATTATATTTAACTTTGTTATTTCATAAGCTTACTCGATCTTTATGCTTGATATAATTTTTTAAATTTCCTAATTCCATAAAAGGCATAATAATCATTGGTGTATCGTAATCCCAAAAAGATACTCCTATTAAAGACAAAACATTCTGATGATGAAACTGGCTCATTATGGCTCCTTCTCTCAATAAACTTTGCGATAGTGAATCCTCTTTCTCAAAATCACCAAACAACATTTTTATTGCAACTTTTCTCATCTTTTTTTCATTATCCTGATCATCTTTATCTTTTAACTCGGCAACGTAGACAACACCGTAGTGACCTCTTCCAATTTCATCTTTTAAATTAATTAATTCTTTTGGAACTTGTACATTTTTAATCATTTCTTGCATTCGTTTTTGAGAATTAGATATTTCTAAAAAAGAGATGTAAAAAGAATATTATTATTCATTACTTATTGTTGGTTTTATTAAGATTAATGTTATTCATGTAGTTTGTACCTTTTAACCCTTTTTAGGGTATGAATAATAAAAGAGTTAAGTGTTTTATGACTCATTTAGTAAGTATGTTATATACTATATAAATATATACGATATATAATATTTCAATCTTTTTTATGCGCAATTTGATTAAAAAAACACAAAAAAGGGCAAAGAATAAAAAGGAAAGAAGAGACAGGAAATACGAAGTTAATATGCTTAGGACGTGTATGTGTGTACTTAGAGATATTCTAACAAAAGAGATTAAGAACGTGTAGGTGGAAAAAATAAAGATAGGAGAGCACACACAATCAAAAATAGGCGCAGATTATTTAAATAAATATATAAAATATATATAAATATATATATTTTAGTATATATTAGTATATATATATATATATATAAAAAGGCTATCCAAACACTAAATATCAGAAATATTCCAATATCTTTTTTATGGCTTATAAGCTATAAAGATAAGAAAAAAATAAATCTAATTTACCCGAAATGTAACCTGGATCGTCATCAATATCGTCCATCAAAGGTGGTAATAAGTTAGGTTTCATTAAGGGATGTTGTTGTTCTGAATAGTTTGGATTTTGAAATCTTGTTTCTCGTCTTGAATTACGATTATAAATATCCAAATCTGCCAAACCAGGTATCTTAGGTTTATTAATATAATGTCTCTTTTTCGGAGAAGGTTTCCTGTACGAAGGTCTACGTTTGAATAAAAAACTGATAATTAAAGAGATTTTATATCTACTTTTGACGCTTTCGTAATAAAATAACAGCAGCTATTACAATAGCTAATATAACTGGAAAACCAACACTTAGACCAACTATTAGACCAATCTTACTTGAACTTTGATTAATAGGCTGTTTCGTTTGTATTTTTATTACTCTGATAGTTTGTAATTTACTTTTATATCTTCCCCAAGATATCTGCAAATACAGATTTTATATATTCGAAATATTAAGATTTATAATAAGAGAAGTAAAATTAAATTACCAAAAAAAAGCAAGCGTTTAAGGCTGTTCTATTTAAAGTATTTTTCTCCAAATCGACAGAACAAAAAGGTAATTCTTCGTTGTAATTAAAGTCACAATTTACATCGCAAACTTTAAACTTTACAAGCTTATATTCTTGGTCGGCTTTGAGCATTTTAAGTGAATTACCATCCAACTATTTTAATAAATTATTAAATATAACTGCTTTAAAACAAAACATCGTTTTAAACCTACCTTCATATTAAAGTTGAATGATTTTGAAGTATCAGGAATGTCAAATTCTTGCATATGAAGAGTAGTTTTATTTGCTTTCAGTTGAATTGCTTTTTCTGGAAGTTTATAGAAGCGTAACATAAAATTCTCATTAACAATAACTTTTTCATCGAATTTAAGAACGAATTTTAGTTGTTTTATGTCTGATCTTCCTGGTCTTCCGGGCCTTCCTGGTGCTGTAAAAATGATAGAGAAAAAAATTGATTATTAATTTTTCAACAGAAATTATACTTCAACAAAAATAGTTTACGTCTAATGTCAAGATTTCTCTTTCCTCTGCTTAAAGGGCTTTTAATACCACCACCAATATCTTTTCTAGAGTCTCTGTCAGGACCACCACGAGGAATCAATATTTTTCTATCGAGTATCGGAGTTTTACATTCAACTAATAGGGATGATTGTATTTTACATGTCTAAAGAAAAAAATTAAATATTTTTTATTAGACTGTCAGCTATTACAACTGAAAAGAAGATTAACTTACTTCATTGCTTTTAAAATCGGATGAAAGAGATGAAATAATAATATAAGCTGTTTTATATAAATCGAAATTGTTTCCATGCAATTTAAGGCTTAATCCACCTCTATAGAGAGAAGAAGAAAAGGAAAAATTAAAACATTTTTCTTTTGCTTATCTACATAAAAAACACTGATAATTACTCAAAGGGTGAATAAAATCCAACTGGAAATTGTAAATCTTTAAAAGGTCTAACAATCTTTAAAACTTTTTCAAATGAAAGATCAGACTTTACATCAATTTTTATAAAAATTTTGTAATTTCCAGGAACATTAGTATAACCAGTTTCAAATATTATGCAAGTATTGTTGCGGCTAAGTACATTAACTGAACTACTATTTAAGTAAACTTCAAGAATTGAACCAGTATCTAAATTCTCTCCAAGGAGAAATACTTTTGAAGGCGCTATAGAGATTTTTTCAGGATATACTGATGTTATTGTAACACTTTTTGGTGAGAGAACGTCCAAATAGATATTACTTTCAGTATTTCCCGTAATTTTAATCTTTTCCTTAGACGGTCCAAAGCTGCTTATGTTAACCGTACAATTAAATCTAAATAAAACAAAGAAAAAGTTTAATTTAAGCAAAATTGAAATTCTAATACTTACGAATAGAAATTAATCGAGTTTTGATCAACAATACAACGAAACTGGCCAAATTTAATCGAATTTAACAATTTCATAAAATTTAATCTGTATCCATGTACTTTTACACTCAGTTTAGTGCTTGCTAATGCCTTAGAAGGTTGGACCTACATATAAGAAAACAAGAGAATTTATAAGTTAATAAAAACTATTAAAACTTGATAACTTACGCCAGTAATATTATAACTACAATTATAAGATTCATCAAAATCTTCATCAACGCATTCGCTATCTTCCGTCATAAAGCATTGTCTTTTTAAACAATTATCGCATCCTTTCATAAATGAACACATGTATAGTTCAACTGTAAAAAAAAAAGAATAATTACTTATTAATTGTGTTTAAATAATAAAAGATACGAAAACTAAATGACTTACTTATTGACGAAACTTTAAATTCAGTTTTTGAGAAAAAGATTTCCAATTTATAATCAGACATTATATCTTCAACATTTGCGTTAATACTCATATAATCTTCCTAATGAGATTTAATGTTGTTAGTCTTGGTTTAAATAATTATTAATAATAAAAATTACCTTAATTTTCTTTGAGTTAAATTTGCAACCATTGTGAAAGTCACTTCCAACTTCGCTTCGATAAATGTTAGCTTTAATACTTAATTTGCAAAAGTCGACTACTTGATGCTAAATAAGGCAATTATTTTTAAGTTAATAAAAATCTATAGATATATAAACAAACCAAAGCTAAATATAAAGGTATTCGTAAAATATCCTCATTTGGTTTTAATATGAAGGATTTGTTCTTTAGCATTACAGATTCTTCTAGTATAGGGCAAACTTTTAAATTTGGCTGTTTCTGTTTTATGAATAGAATATTATTATACTCGTAAATAATGATAGAAATATTCCTAGCATTAACCTCAGGAACAAGTTGACCTTTAGTACATCCGCGTGAATCTTCAACTTTTCCAATGCAATAAGATTTATCAGCATAGGAGCACCAAGAACATAATTCTTGATACTGAATACATTCTTCACATGTTCTATTTAAATGTGAAATTAGATAGTTAGATAGTAAAAAATAATTTATACTTCAATATTCCACATGAAAAGATTGGTATATTAAATTTCTTAACAATTTCTCCCGTTTTTGAAATATGCAATGTCAAAGTGAAATTATAATAAACTGAAAAAATTAGACAGATTATTAAAACTAAATGTATTTATCATAGTAGTTTAATTATGAATAATACACTTACAAATAGAATTGAACTGAGGTAGTCTATAAAATTGACTTCTTCTCCTAAATCTACATTTTTGAATATTTTTATCAAAGATAAAAGTTCCATTAAATTCACTTAACCACCAGCTCTTTATATTACAGAATATTCCTTTTAAATGATTTTTAGACTTTATCTTAGAAATAAAAATTGGAATAAGTTAGCATTTATTAAAATTTGAAAAATTTAACCTACTTTATAAATCATTTCCCTCTGTCGACCAAAACTTATTCGAGGTACCCTCAAAGAAATTTCACTTGGTATAACAGCTGCATCTTTAACGCAATCCTTAGGAGATTTTGCGAAAGTTTTGTCAATTGAGTTTTTCGAAGTTATCCCAACACACTTGTGTCTAAATAAGAAAGGAAATATGGAAAAAAAAACAAACATTGATAATCATAATATAAAGAGGCGAGAATGAAAGAGAAAATACTTGTATCTTCTCAATGAAACACTAACTCTGGTGGTACGCTAGGATTATCATTCCAATGGCAAAATGCTTGTATACAACTTATGCACATTTTTTCTTGTTGACAATCAGGAAATGGTATTATCATTGGCTGAAAATATTTGTATATACAACTAAAGATATTTATAAAGATAGTATGTATAGCTTACAGAAAATATACATGGTTCCGATTGACAATCAAATATTGATGCAGACAAGTAAATAGTATTTCTATTGTTAAATACTCTCAAACCAGTTGCTTTAAAAGTATGAGTCTTCAAGTTTTTTTTGTATCCTTTGAGTTGCTTTGACTTTCCATTGTAAAGATACTATTAAAAAACAGATGTAGTTTATGACAAGTATAAAAAAAAATAAATATATATACTACCATGTTAATAAAGCTCTTTTCATTTGCAATAGCTAAATAGTAGTTATCACGAAATCCAGTTATATTTAAGGCAGCTATAGATGTTGGTCTGAAATTTTCCTCCAGAATGAACACATCATCTGCTTTTTGCTTAGGCAAAAGTAAAAAGTGATTTTTTTTACTAGTCTTTGCGGTAGCTGATTCAAACATTGCTTCTTTCGTTTTTACCTTTAAAGAAAGATAATAAATCTTATTCGAGTAGAATTTGTGAATCTTTTAACTAATACTCACACAATTCTCCTTATCTACCCTTTCAATATGTCTTAATTTTGAAATACTTTCTCCTCGATCACATTTACTATTAGTATCCGTTATTATTTTGAATAAATCAGATAAATGAAATATGCAAAGGGCCATTGTTCCTGATGAACTTTTTGATACCATAAATACAGTTGCTGAATTCTTTTCCTTGGGAAAGAAGATTTGTTCAGCAATGATAGCTTCGTTGAAAGTTTCCAATCCATTTATTGTTTCACCTTGACATTCCAATGGCATTTCATTGTAAGAAGTTAAACCGTGGTGGGGTAATATAGTTGATAAAACTGTAACAGTTCTATTACTGTTATCAATTAAATTTCTATTTATAATAAAATTAATCAAATTCTCCCCAAATTTTCCAGAAAAAATGGGATTCAATTTAAATCCTTCGAGATTCTTAGCTGGTCTAATTGAACCACAGTCAGTATAATCAATGGGCGACACAAATGGTATTATATTCTTGATGCAATTGATCAACGACTGATTCGTTGATAAAGGAACATAAGATTTATAGTTGTAAACCCTTTCATCATCAGCTTGTAAAAGACTTACAACAGAAACTGAAAATCCTTCAGGTGGGACAAAATCCAAATCTCTGCTAAGATTCTTATGTACTTTTTTACAAGACAGATGGTCTAATTTATAAACTATGCAATTTTGTTGACTTTGATTAGTTTGTGATCGACCACATATTAAAATATAACTGGTACTAAAGACCGTTGCTGTTATAGTTGCTTTTGGTAAATTACTATTTTGTCCTTCACAAAAGTTATCGCCATAGTTTCTTGCTTCAAAATTGGCTTTACTAAAATATATATCTTTATCGAACACAAAAAGTGTACGATCTTTCTTCGAAATATCGTAAAAGTTACGAATATAGGTTTTTTGGCAGTAGCAAGTGTGACAGAGAACAATACTTATCCAGAATAATAACTTTATCATCCCTATCAAAAGATAAAAATAGTGTAATTAGTAATTTAATGCATCAAGTAAGTCTTCACTACAAAAAAATATACTTTGGATAACTTTTTTTGTTCTTAAAACTAAATAAAAAGTAAAATAATATGTAGTCAGGCGTTCGCACACTGATAAACTCAATAATGTATTTATGAACATTCGATAAGTGTATATAATAGCTGCCAATTAGTCCATTAGACTATGTTGGTCCACCTTCATTATGACTCATTGAATGATTCAAGCTTATTCTATATAGCTTAAACAGCAAACACAAGTAAGGAAAAACAAAAGTGGAATTCGACCGTTCTACAAGCTGTCGGCCAATTTTGTTTGACGGTCGCTGATATCTTATCTCTTAACGGTCAACCGGTACTGTTCTGTTCACGAATTATCAGAACCGCACGAAATTGTCAAAGAGTTTGTGAATAAGCACTCAATCAAGTAGTATTTACAGTTTTCACTTACCGACTAGCAATATTTTTCAATTCAAAACTATTAAAATATTTTCAATCCTCTAAAAAGTTGTTTTCATATCTAAATTAATTATGAATAAGGGTAAAATCGTATTAAAACATGACATCCGCTTTAAAAACACAAAAGATTAAGTTCTATATGTCCACTAGATGGCATAAATTATCGTAAATTTTTTAATCCTTGTTTATTTCAATATTTGTTATTGAATTAATCTTTAAAAGTTTTCGATGGATCAGAATATAGTTGACATGATAAATTGGTTTAAGAAAATTCAATGCATATACCTAGATTTAAGACAAAGAGCATTAAAAATATTTGCGAGTTGTACCCATATCTTGGTGGTAGGGTGCTAATAAACATCTCAAAAGTTAATAATAATATCAATTACTCATTTAATATTAGAATAAAATGATATTATGTATGTCATTTATGTTTAATAAACAATAAACATTTATTTTGAATAGAAATAAGAAATCTAGATTTTCTTTATGACGGTTTTAAATTCTAGCCGGAAGAGGCGCTGTGTTTTTGCGATAGTTTTTCACTATTCACCCGACCACAGACAATGTCATTCACAATCTCCTGTCGGCGAAGCCGCAATTACACAGGCTGCTCGTGACGGTTTAAGCGTCGAAAATTTCATTTACTCGTACCACCTTGGCCGTTTATTTTCTTATTTACTTTTCTACGGATATTTAGCCTCATTCTTTGAATATTTTGAACTTTTTTTAAAGAAGAAAGCACTATTATTGGAGATAGAAAACAAGTGGCGTTTTATTTGCCGCTTATATCGTTCAACTTCTTCATTGACAGAAAACTAGGCCATTTTAAGGTCTAACTAGAAAATGTTTTACCGTGAGTATAGAATTCTCAAAATATTTCAAATCTTACGTAAGGCCTAGAAATTACGTTTTGACTCACCGGTCCATCTTCAACTTCGAATTGAATACACCTGTACGATAGTATGCTTTTGGCCTATACTAATATTACGCAAGATCCTTTATTTTTTTATTTTCTTTTTTTAAAAAAAATACATAGTTGTTAACTGCTTAATCCTTTTTGTATATTGCCCCCTTATCTGTTTAAGGTGACCAGAAGAATTTATAGATGAGCATTTCTCTCATCAAAAGTAGTTTATTTACGACGATAACAGCCGTCAAATTGTTTAAATAGCGATTCTGTAATGTGTATTTTGTCTTAAATTTTCTAAAGTTTTTCATCCCTTTTTTTAAATTTTTTCCAAAAGATAAATATTTCACATTTTTACTTTCAGTTTAAGTTTATATCTTGTTTTTTTAAAAAAAAAAATATTCATGAAATTTGAACAATTTGTAAATGGGCGGAGAGGTACGGAAAATTGTTGATAAAATATCTTGAAATTTACATAAGTCAACAGTCTCATAAACTATACGTCGTTTCATTAACTGAATAAACAAGAGTCGAAATCCATTAGTAAATAATGCGTTTAATAAGATCAAAGAAGGAAATCGTATCGTAAATCTGCCTTTAATCCTGACAAGATTTTTTGTTAATAGTCTAACAAAGCGAGAACAAGTTATAATAGGAGAGTTTCAATGAAGAATTCGTTTAAAGAGATTTTTAATGCCGTATTCAACGGTTGTTTATATAGTGAGAACGCTTCAACATTTTGCATCCTGTCGCTAGATTTCATAAGTAAATAACATATTTCATAGGCCGAGAGGATTAGTATTACACCATATATTTGGGGGCTTGTTTAATGGGATTTCCTACTAAGTTTCCCGTTTTATCTTTTCGTATGAGCAAGATATCAGTATTTGTATAATGTTAGGAAAACATTGTAACTTTTCTTTTGGCTTTTGCATCTCTTCCTCCTTAACTTTCGCTCTTCTATTTAGATATTTCCCAGTCCACTAATTAAAGGATTAATCAGTAAACTTTCATTTTTTATCATCAATGTTGTGTAGTCTAAAATAAGAAGATGGGTGGACAGGATTGAACTGTCATTAAACACTTCATACTGGTTCCAATTGTGTATATCTTTTTCGTAATTTAAGACGGCTATATGTTGGAATTTAGATGAAAATCTCTTTTTTTCAGATCTACAACCGGGCGAGTGCAATCGGCAATAAAAGATGAAGAAACGTTTTTATATAGGCCTTTTCTTTCTAATTGAATCGGCTTTCAACGATCAACAACTAAGGGCGCCCTCCTACAATTACGTAAATGGAATCTTCAAAGCCGAAAGTGAAATTGTCAAACATGTTGTCTACAAAGACAAAATCCTATTGGGCTTGGAAGGTAATATTACAGTCATAGACCAAAAACTACGGTACAGTTATAGCGTCCGATCGAACCCGGATAGTACATCGTCAGAAGAATGCTATCCGAAAAGCATGATCGTTTATAGTGAAGGGAGAGAATTGATCTTATGTTGTACATCTAATAAGGGTAGTTGTCACAAGAGGAAATTGAACGGCAGATTGTCGTTGAGCGATGACTACGCTAAGAGCGAGGGTGAAATTGTACCCTGGACTAAAAATAGTAGCTGTTTAATGGTTATAGCAAAAGGACCTGGTTCACGAACGTACGCTTATGTAGCTAACACGTTACCACAAGATACTGATGTTCAACTCTCAGTTGTCAGCCGTAGGAATTTGGAAAACTTTCAAATAGTCTCCGGCAGCTTTTTCTTTGATCGCCCCGTTCTGCAAGCAAAGAAATACAATGATCCCAATGCCGATACATTCGAAGAACGTAATATACACTTCTGGTACATTAAAACCTTTACAGCCTTTAATTTTGTGCATTTTTTGGTTGTGGAACCTCTTCGATTATCTAGCTATAATGTGTTCGTCACTAGAATACAAAGGATTTGTATGCAGAATAAAAACTTTAATACACACGCTGAATTGGACTTAAAGTGTTATTATAATGGAACGGAACATAATATTGTAACATCTGCCTATATTGGCCGTGGAGGTGAAAAGCTTCAAAAGTATCTAGAACTACCTCATGTAGAACCGTTCTCAGATGATGCCCTTGTATTGTTTGCCACATTTTCTAGAAGTGCACCTTTCTCTGCTGTCGAACAACCTGGTAGTGCCGTTTGTGCCTACAGACTAAGGGATATTCGTAAATCTTTTACAAAAAATATAAAGGAGTGTTACAATGGGATAGGAACATGGGGTCCTGATTATTTTACAAGTCAACCTCAAAATTGTATAGAGCATCCAGAAAAAATTGACGATACGTCTTGTCCTAACAAGAACAAGCACATACTTGGAACTCAACCCTTAGTTTCTACTACTCAACTTTACATTCCCAATCACATCGTCTCCTCAATCGCCGTAACAACCGTTGACAAACATACAATAGCTTTCATGGGAACTAAAGCTGGCATAATTCTAAAGGTAAGCATATAGTTTCCCAACAGGATTTTCAGCGCATTACTAGTGTTAGTCAATATAGATATTGATGACTAAAAGCTGATGAGCTTCAACCGTTCTATAAATCCTCATTGACCATAGCGTATAAAAGGGCGTCTAATCTATTTACTCTAGCCGACCACTGTTTTTTATTCAATAATTTTTTATACGGTGGCTGTGCAAAGTTTGTCTTTATAAAGAATGTTAGCAATTTTCAAAGTACCGTCCCCTTTATTACATTCATTGAACACCGGAACTCGGAAAGGTCCGAAGCCGTTATCGACCTCCGAACTTCCGGTACTTATTGTCTCTGCCTTTTGATCGATGAATAAAAGAGCGGCTGTCTCCAAAATTTTTTATTTATATAAATATACCAAGTTTTTAATTAGTGGAATAATCTCTACACTTATCGCAGTAGTTAGAGATCTATTTTACACTTTGAACGAGGAGAATATCCTAGTTAATCCCTTTCCAACTTAATTAGCTATCCTGTAACTGGTTGCGAACTCTTTTAAATATGTATCAATTAACCGTACCCGATTATATTAGTCATAACTTGACTATTACTTTCATTGTTGAAAGGATGTTGTGAGAGGATAAAAAATATAAACGAATCAATCATGCAAAAAATGAAAAGAAAAGAATGAATGATAGAGTTATTATCCTCCATGATAGTAGTATATACAGATAAAAAAACATAGAATACACTATAGTTGAAGAAAGTACGAAATTTCTCTTATTTCCTTAACTTTTATAGAGCGTCATCTCGAGCAAAAATAGTGGCGAATTATATGAAACGATAATGATGGAAGAGAAGAGGGAGCCTATTCTCAGCGACGCCTTCTTCTCAGACGATAATCAGTATTATTATGCAGCCAAAGGAAATACGGTGAGTGGTCTTTTTCTTTACTTAACTAATCTCTCTGCTATCTGCTTCTTTTTAACCCTTGTCGAAAAAAGGCCTAGAACGTATAAATGTTTTTATCTCCTAGAATGGTTGAAATAGAGAGAATGCGTATATACTTGGCATATGCAGCTCTTTCCAGAGCAGACAAGGCGTTCTCTGGGTGTGTTGTGTATTTAATGGCATCGAGCAGTTGCTTAATGTAAACAACATTTTTAGGTTACTAAGCCTAAAAGTGAGAAAAAAGGGGGTGAAGGTGTGGGAGGAGTATGTTAGGTAAAAAAAATTAACTGTAAATGAATTCCTACACATTGAATGACAAGGGAACAGAAAAAGGTGAATGTAGTTGGCAATGATCTCGTACATGCGTATCGAATGTTTCTCTTAGCACAAAGGAGACTTTTGTTTGTGCAGGCACGTACATCCTCGTTTTGTCATATTTTTCTAACTCGGTCGTCCAATACATTGTCTCTTCCTTTATTAATACCTATATTAATTGGTTGCTTTCATTCTATAAAGTTCATTGAGTCATTTCTATAAAATTATGATATATTTCTATAAATCTATTTTGAGATATAGTTCGTTAGCTATAACTCACTTAACAATAAACTCGACTGTAACCGGTAGTCAATATAGGGCCTATAACGTCTGACCTTGATTGTATACCTATAAAACTCCCTAGCCTTATAGGCCTCATTTAAGGCTTAAGGGAAAATATGCGATGGCGTATTGAACTTGTTTGCTAACGTTTATTTTTCTTCTGCGGCTTGTTTTTGTTATATTCCAAGGATTATTGTTTATTCAACGTATCCCTTTGCCCTTATTAAGTATTCGGCAAGCGTCCCTACTTACGTAAAAATATTGTTTGCTTTATTCCTATTTAAAACATATCGGATAATAGACGCTTTTATTTAAGCGTTTAAAAACTTTGAAAAGAGAGGAAGTGGTTGAAGGATGTAGAGAATAACATTTGCATTTTGTCGTATTCCCTAACTCTGTATTCTCAATTGATTTTCTCCGTCCTCACTTTATTTTGTTTATTGTTTTTCCTAGTCGTTCATCCTCATTCGTTCTCCTTTCTTATTGAGTGTTTCGTGAAGCGCATAGTTACGTTACTATAGCAACACAAAACCAGCCCCCGTACTTAAAGGAAAACTGCCGAAATCTGTCGACATTTTCACACTAGAGACCTTTTATTGACTTGCATATTTTTAACATTGGCGCCACTTTTACATTATCTATACATGCACCAAATCATCACAGACAATGAAAAGTATTGTATATCCGTTCATATGTTGAATAATATATCAATAGAAATCCCCCATCCCAGTTTTTTGCCCATGTTTTGTTGTCCCTTAGCCGCGATCCGTCTGGTAAAAAAGGATTATGTAATACTTAAAAGGGTGAGGGAGACTAAAAGCCATAAAACACTATACGGGATAAGGAAAAGATCCTCGATTCAAGCGAATGTATAATTAATTAGAGAACGTGCCGAACAGTGTAGAAAACGAGAATGCTGTGCAATTGTATGTATAAAAACCGTTCTTAGTTAGACAAACAAACGCCGTACGACTTTTAACGTTTGTCAATAGTTGCACGTGCAAAAAATTTTTTTCGGCATTTCCCCTTGTTCATATTATTGCGGAAGTGAAACAGTAGAAGAATTTCTTAATTAGAAATCTCAACTGTATTTAACACAGTTCCTAAAGTGGTTTTCATGGTTAAGATATCAAAGAAATAGCAATTAATAGTACAATGATAAAGAAATATATACTGTATACAGTAGATATAAGTATATACATATATATATAAACAATGTATGTTGTAAAGTTACATATTTATATAAATATATCAAGATATTGTGTTTATTGTATACAATATATAGATTAGTAAATACATGTATATAAATAATAAAGAGAGATAAAAATGTACATTATGATTCACCTGAGAAAAATAGCGCAGTTGTTGAAAAAAAAACAAGAAAACTACAAGAATAAAAGAAGAAAATTGGTTATTCTATACTTCTTCTATATTTCAACGTGGAAATTTTCTATCGTAGAACTTAAGTATAAACTATTCTATCCGAACTAATGTTACGTATATCGTATTCACTTATATAGTCTTTTATGAAAGCCGACTTCTATTATTATTCAACAAGCTAAATTTATTTACAAAACTGAAATAATTATAAGGTATTTTATTAGCTTCATAGAATGACATTTTACGCTCGATTAATATATCTTAGATGTTTATTATCTTATAGAAAACTTTTGTACGAAATATTCCTACTAATGTTCTTTGAACTATTAGATAATTTCATTTATGAATTAACTATAATTCAATTTTTCATTATGAATTTTTCTATTTTTAGAACGATTATTTACTGTGTTATATAAGAGAACTAGACGAAAAAAACAACCTATTTACAATGTATATTTGTATATATATATTCAATAATGTTAACTTTAATGATTTTTACAAAAAGTAATAGTTTCTAAAGGGAAACAATACAATATAAATCTAATTAATTTCAGAATAGAAATCAACAAATGATTTCGCAGTTTAACAGAGCAAAGAGTAACTCTATAGTAGTTTTTATCAATAAACTATAAAAAAAAACCTTACGTTTCCTGCAACAGTGATTTCTCCTTCTAACAAAGTACTATATATAAATATTAGTATTTATACGCGCACAATCTATAGAATATACCGTACTTTACTTTAGAATATATATATAAATGTGTCTAATGATTTCGGAGAAGTAGTTCTTATTATTATCGCTTCGTTTCTTCTTGTACTTATATATAAGAAATATTATGTGCTGTTTTCTCTTTTTTGTATGGTGAACGACTTACGAGTATAATTATGGAGAGTAAAAAAGATACGTTTAGTCTAGGTTAGCTCTGTTATTTCACCTAGGAATGCGAAATTTTGAGAAATGAACCGCCAGTTAATGGCATTTTGGCTCCTCCACCTCTCCCAAAAGAAAGATTGTATCCAGAATAGTAAAAGAGGTTACGAGAAGGAAAGTGAGAGTAGAGTTTTTTTTTGCAGATAATATTAACGCTGTCTGTCTGATTTGGTAAGCCGGCTCGTAAGTTTTCTTAGCTTACTCAATGAGTGGCAGAGGAGAAGATGAGTTTTAGGGCGTGAAAAAAAAGGAAATGGACGATTTGTTGATCTAAGTTAGTGCTGGGAGATTTTTTCTTCAAGCTTGCTTTCTTTGAAAGAATTATGAAGCGAAGAAGAGAGAAATCGAGTAAAATCGTTAACGAGAATTTAAACGCTCCAAGTACTCTTCATAAAGAAATAATGTATATAGAACGTTGAACACCGGAATCGTTCTTAATATGGGCATTGGAATTTCTCGTAGCGTAAAAAATTCCCCCTATCCGCAGCTCGAATAATGTATTAGACGCCCTCCTCCCCCTTTAACGGCCGGCTAGCTATACAGTAGCAAAGTATAAGAAATCACGTGATCGGTGCTGAAGAAAGTAAGTAACCGATACCCATTAATATCAGTCGTCACCCAGCTGTTGTATTCGGACAACTGAGCTTGATGAACGGAGTCTGAGAAACTATCCCCAACGCTCAGCGCGATTAGTCTAATGAGTTGAAGCACGACTTGATAAAGCTAACAAAAACAATACGGAATCTAATTACAAGCCGCTAAAAGATTATTATCGGATTGAGAGGAAAAAACGATTTTAAGGCGAAAAAAGATTTTGATTGTCGAAGAAGGCACGTAATTAAACTAATCACTTTTCCGATTTGTGAGGCTTTCCTAATTACGATGATTGCGTCACCGACAGTCATTACTGGCGATTGATTGCGTAATGTGCCTAATTCGATCTGCTTCTGAAAGTAAAATATATAAAAAAGAGAAATTTAGAGGAAAGGAAGAAAGACAGGCTGACGTACTCTTCGTGCGATTCATATCTCGTTTCATCCGGCATAATTACAACAATTATTCATTTGGTTTGAACGTCCTATTGATTTTTACTGATAATTACACAAAACGTATAAAATTTCGATTCGATATGAGCCGATCTATATAGAAAAGGCACGAAATTTTGCAAGCCGGACATCCGCC